TTTTTGCAATAATGATTAAGTCTCATTTTTAATTTCTTCTGTTTTTCTTCCTAAGTATTATATAGTATTATTATATATTATATCTTCAATTTTAAATTGCTGTTTCTCTAAGGATGGATTAACTAGCTTGTGAGCTACAGCAATTTTAATTGTTTTTGTTAATCCTTGCCTCCATAGATTTTCACTTTTATTCTGTATTGAGATTTTTTTAAATTTTTTTTTAGTTTTATTTTACTGTATGTGCAAATTGTAATGTGATTTTTATAAGGCTAAATAAAGAATGAATGAATGAATCACAAGGCCTCAAAGTACTTTACAATGTGAAATTGAAAGCCAAAAACATTCTTGGCTTTATACAAAATTCTCAACCATTGTTTACCTAATATCTGTCTCGACTAATTCACTTTTGATTGACTTTATAGACGTTTAGTGAAACTCTGCCTTGTTGGTCAAATGAAGCTTGCCATCCAAAAACCATTATCAGTGATAAAAAAAAATGAAAATTGCCTTTTTGATATTCTTATTCTCAACATTGTAAGCTTTGAAATGATGGTTCATTTACTTGAATCTGCTTACTATTGCCAAGGGTATGAGAAAAAGTATGAAAGCTACTCAGTACTAAAGTATACAATTCTGCAACATTCTTATGCTAGTTACTCAGTTTAACATATAGCGATAGTGTGCTCGTTTTGGGACGGCAAGCCTTGAATATTTCTGTGTGCAGTCACATAATCATGCCTTCAATCACCAATACATTGTTGAGGCTTTATCTCATCAAATCGTCCATATCTATATCTGCAGGTGGCCAATTTCTCAACAATGGAAGAGGAGGAAGAAGTTTCGGAGATGGGTGCATCCTGGGAAGACATCATTCCACTGGAAGCACGGAGTAAAGTAGAAGAGGAGGAGAAACAGAAGGAGAAGATGGATTTTTATCTTCCTCCTAGAGTGAGAAAACAAGTGCAAAATGTAAATTGCATGAACTCATTACTAAAAAAAAATTATGGGAAGAGACAGACATTGTTAGATTAATATCTCATAAATACAATTTAGCTTCTAATAGTGGTGGGACTACAGTAGAAATGATTTGGTTGAGATGTCTGCTGTAGTAGTGGCTGACCACTCTCTTGCAACATCAAAGAAGTGGTTGACAATTCTTTAGTGGTATCAAAGAAGGGGTTGACTGCCTGCCAGATGTAGTCTTAAACAAATTGGTTGTTTAAACTCATTTTTCTCAAAATTGTTTATCCTAGATGTCCTATCGTGATAACAGTGATTCTGAGGGCTCATCAAAGAAACGAAAGGGTCGACGTTCATCAGGAACGAGCAGCGAGTCTGAAGATAGTGACACAGGCAAGAAGACCAAGCGTCCACGGGGAAGACCCCGAACTGTACCACGGGACACCATTACAGGATTTACAGATACTGAGATTCGACGGTAAAGGAATTTTAATTTAATGTAAAATTTTCACTCAACATTATTTTTCACATTACAAGAAACTACAATAGAAATTAAAGTTTGCTAACTTAAAGTCTGCACAGAAATATATTGTGTAAAAAATTAGAAATTCAGAAAGCCTACGTGTGTGAAATGTTAGTTGGTACTAAAAATTACGCACAATCACAGTAGTTAAGAACAAGACTTGATAAGGTTATTATTTGTTCTTATCCTTATTCAGCATATATAGTGTCCTCTGTATTGCATCTTGTTTGTAGTATTGTGTATTTTATTGTGTATAGTATTCATTATTGACATTGTGCATTAATGGCTGTTTGCAGATTGAATCTTGTACAATCTGAAATAGAATTCATGAAGCTTAAGTTTTTTGAAGTACTATAAAAATTGAATATTTAAAAAAAAAAAATCACCATTTGATTTTGATTTTGAACATTTTGTGTTGCAGGTTTGTTAAAAGTTATAAGAAGTTCGGAAGGCCACTAACAAGGTAGGTCTGCTTCTGTTGTGTGTTTAATAGGATATTAGATTAAAAGTATCTTCACCTCCAACAAAAGTGGACAAGTAGTGGTGCCAGTCGAAGAGTGGAGGCCATGAGGGTCAGCGCCCCCAACGAGAAGAGCTCAGCAATCACTAATCATTTTGAGTTCTTTACCAGTGCCACTGTATTGTGTATATAATAATAAACTCTTTTTTTTTTTTCGTCTATAATCCAGGCTGGAAGCAATAGCCGGAGATGCTGAGCTGCAAGAAAAATCACAGGCTGATTTAAAAAGGCTTGGAGACACGTTGCACAATGGCTGTAAGCGTGTCATACAAGAATATGAGGAGAGGTTAAAGCAAGATTCAGAATTTGATGGTATATGGACAAAATTGGTTATTTATAAAACAAAGCATAGATTTAGAGGGAGGATATCAATAATCATTGATGTCCCTTTATGCATTTAATAAATACAGTAGAACCCCTCATTTACGTACGGCACGGGCCCAGAGCCGTTCGTAAATTAGGGTATTCGTAAAATCGGGGTTGACCCAAATTCCTATATATTTGCACTGATACTACTTACACTGG